CGCGACGCGGCAAATTTAAATTTATAAATTATCCTCAACTAACCTCTACTAACTAGTAGTAGCGGCGAGTAAGGGTCGATCCCACGAGGAGCAGGAATTAAGTCGTGACAAATTTCGTATTAATCGAACTAAGACTAAGAAAGCAGTAAAATGGGGGGTTTGGTTTTATAAAAATAACAAAAGAAAATAAAATAAAAATCAAATAAATGAGAGAAGTCTAGTTTTCGGTTCAGTTATCACCCAATCTAAATCTACCGTTAATCAATTTCAACGTTTTCTTCTTTAAATTACTAATGAATTACCGACCCTAGCTAACAACAAGCTCTGTTAACCGAATTTTCCCTTACAGAATATTTAGTCGAAATAAGCTCTTCGACCAAGCCTAACTAGCGGACAACCTAGAATAAGCTCTCTAGATTTAATTCACTAGCAGCATTAATCACTAGGAAAATAGATCAGTCTAAGCAATGGACGCGTAAGCTCGGACCATTTAACTTATGTTCATGTTACCCTAAGGATGCACGACCCCTAATTTACTACTAACGAAACGAGACAATAACAATTACGGATTAAAGTCTCGAATCTAGCAATTAAACTATGAATATTTAACATAGTTGGCCAGACTAAATCAAACACCATAATTCATAAACATTAAACACAGATAATATGAATCAACTCATCAACAAAAATAAATAGGACGTCTCAATTAACCAAGAGATAAAAATAAATTCTTCAATTCATAGACAAATCAAAGTTAGGGTTCAACATCCCCTCAAACTGGATAAAAACTACTAGCCTAACATACTAATAAAAATAAATAAAAGATAAATAAAAGAGAGAAAATATAATCTCCCTCGTGTGCGGGTGCGGCTTCCCTCCGCGTGTTCTTTTCCCCTCTCTGTTGCTCTCTGTCCGTGTACTCTGTTTCTTTTTCTCCTTTTTCCCGTAAAAATTCCTCCGCTAATGGCTTTTTGTCCCGCAATTAAATCACGTAATGCGTGATGCTCCTACTCCCAAGTCTCCAAAATAACTAAAACTCTCTTCAAATAATATTAAATTTCCTCAAATAAATATCCTAGAAAATGAAGTCCCAGCCCATTATAATTGCCTTTAGTTAATCTCTCCCAATTTGATAAGCTCCTCACATATTTGGCCTCAATTTAAGGTTCATCCGTCCGACAAATTAACCGGTATCTTAGTCCAATGCTTCAAATCCACAAAATACTCTAATTTGCTGAAAAATAAACATAAATATCAATGTATATGAATCCATCCAAATAATAAATAAGTCGAAAAATACAAACGTGCGACTAAATTAAGCGTATATAAATACATTATTAAATATATAAAACGTGCACATTTTTCGACCTATCATGGGGGCAGACAGAGGTCAGTTTTTGAGCTGCGGCCGCCGGAGATGGTGGTGACGGGATGAGCTGCTGCGGGGCTGCGGTTTTCTGGTCGGAAAATGAGCTGAGGAGGATGGCCGTGAGCTGCTCGGAAATGGCTGAGGAGGGGCTGCGGGTTTTGCCGGAATTTTGCCGGAAAACCGGGAGTGGTGGCCGGATTTTTGAGCTCAAGGCATGGATCTTGAAATTTTGCTATGGATTCTTGATGGTTTAGGAGGGATCTTGGATCTTATCTTGAGGATGAAGAAGATGAAGTGGGGAGGATGATGAAGGTGGCTAGGGTTTAGATGTTGTCTCCATGTTGGGAGACAAGGGGCAAAGCTATTTATAGATGAGTAGGTAGCTTAGGGTTTGTGGTGCTATTGGGCTTAAAAATCGGGCCTAATTAAGTGGGCTCGATTTTAACAACTTGGGCTCGAATAAATAATTGCTACTAGGCTCGATTTTAAAATACTACTTGGCTTAGTATTAAATAAATTATGCAATTAATATTAATAATAC